GAGTTCTTAGCGGTCAGAAATGATTGCTAACGTTGCTGACAGGATAAGGTTAATAGACGTATAATTATAAATAAGTATTTCAGTTTTGTTTGGTTATATTTCAGTTTTGTTATACTTGTTATAAACACACACATACATACGCACGTGCGTATATATATATATATATATATATATATATATATATATATATATGACGTCACACATTATGAAATGGACAAAATCCGACAATTATTTTAAGACATATTTATCGTTTATACATTCTTTTTAGAGATACAAATATTTAAGTAAATGCTCTGTTTATAATAAACAGTATTAAACAACATTTACCGGCCTGAAAATTTCTCGGACATTCAGGCCGGTAAATGTTGTTTAATACTGTTTATTATAAACAGAGCATTTACTTAAATATTTGTATCTATAAAAAGAATGTATAAACATAAAAATATCTTAATATATATATATATATATATATATATATATATATATATATATATATATATGAATGAGAGACAGAACAGATGGAAGAAAATTCCACTGTTCGTAGCATTTACTTTTAAAAATGTGCTCAATACAAAGTAGAGCAATATATTATTATTATATTTTTATTATAAGAGATTATAATAAAAAAGATTTTAAAATCGTTACACAAAAGCTTTCATGTTTCAATACTATGATCGTACTTCTTCAGGCAAGGGTAACTGGTGGTTAAATGATTTTTAAAAAAATGAAAAAAAAAAGTTAGATCTTTTCCGAAAGTTACAGGTGGGGAACACAAGTCTATTTTTAATCCTGACCTTATGCCCCCCCCCACTTTAACCATCGGAAAAGAGGTAACACTTTGTTTTTAAATTTTCTTAAAAATCATTTTATTTCTGTGGACGAAATAAAAGGGTTCGGATCAAAATTCGAATGACTTGAAGAAGGCCGGGGCGTACAACGTCCAAGTCTTTATTTATTTGGTTTTGATTGGTTAATGTCAAACGTTTTTAGGTTATTTAATGCCGAAATCAGTTGTTCGTTTAATATTTGAAAATATAAACACTTACTTGGTTCGTGGATAAGTAAATATTAGTCGTTTTTGTATGGTTTTGTAAGCAGACTTTTTTATTATGTTCAGCGATAGATAAATGCTTCTTTCTCGAATTCTAATATTCTACGTTGATATTGGAAAATTTGCAGAACATCTCTCCTCATTTTTTGTTAATCTTGTGCCATACTTAGTATAGAAAATGGAATTCCTATGAGATATATACTTTTTAGGATATCATTTTATATTTGCTTTTTCTTTTTGTTTTATATGCTGTCACGAAACGTGCCCACAGATTTATTTTCCGAAATTGATTGCTTTTTAATTTCATTTGAATATGTTCTTGCCATCTTTGTGAGTGTGGAATCGTTTCTTCGGACAGAAAGCCGGGACAGAAATAGCCAAACCAAAGCTCTTTATGTGTAAATCAAAGCATTAGTCGTGTTCAAATCGCCATCTCAATCTACTGACGCCATATTTATTCTCACTAAACTGACCACATAGTTTATCCGTAACTAAACGTTACTAATGCAATATTGGAGAAAGAACACGATTAAATGCTGTACAGAATTAACAGTTTTTTTACTTGCATTCATATTTAAATTTGTATATAAACACAAGATTTGATAATTCCGCTCTTTATTTAATCACATATGTTTAGGTCTTGTTCGTGCAGGTGTTTCAACACAAACACATTTCTAATACTTCCCAATTGTAATCGGACAGTTTATTTGTGCTTATAAAAGCGTGTTTAACGCTTTTCGATTAAAATATTGACAACGTATATAAAGACCTTGAAAGATTCTTTTACGTTGATAAACAGAATCACTCAAACTACAGTCGAGTGTTTTAAGATTTAACTGAACTATAGTGATATCTTTTTGAATAATAAAAGTGTTCACTCTGTAAATATTTTAAACCAATGGTTCCCAAAAGGTGCAAAGCTCCTCATAGGTGCCTTGGGAGAGGATAGCAGGTGAGGTGAATCAAAGATTTAGAAACAGTTTTAAAAAATGTATATGCCAAAAATAAATATGATTTCAAAATTTAAAATATTATTATGGATTACTTGTAATTGCATGCATGAGTCCCAGTATAAATAGTTATAAATAATTATTGACCGATTTTATCATTGTGGTATTCTTTCATTATACAAAGTTTTAAGAATATAGTAACTAGGGTCCGCAAATTGGATGACAGAGTTATCAATAATAATGTTCTGACTTCGAATTCGCGTTTATCTCTCTTAAACCCTCTCTCTGAACCTTATTTGCCGTAGGGCTGCTTGCGTCTTTTCGCCGGGACTAACCTTTGGTGTGGCGCGATAAATTTTCAATCCGAAAATGCGGCCCAAAGAAAAAAAAAAAATTTGCGAACCACTGCCTTAAATCGAATGATGGAAGTAATTTTGATGTTCGTATGCAACCGAAATGGCAGCGGTCAAAAGTTGCCGCTGAAGTGCAATTATTAATTTTGGACCAATCGTAGAATTCGCTGATAAATGTTTTGAAAACATTTCTTTTTGGCGCCTATAACACATAAATAAAATTAGTCTTAACAAAACTAACAAGCGTCGAAAACAATGTCACCCATTCCGCTTGACACCATTTTGCCGCTCACTTTTCTGCTTTACAAATTCAATTCAACACGCAATTTACGAAGCTTTACCCAAACAGCAAGGGTTTTAACTTAGTTTGAAACAATTTCAAGCAAGAAGCACACATGTACAACCTCCACCCTTACACTTCATATCAA